AATTCTTTGTTCCCCGCGTATCCACCTTACAATAATCCATTCTCCAAAGAAAAGTAATAACTGCAGTTTCTGGCCCTCCATTACCCCCTAAGGAAAGGCTTCTGTCTGAAAATCGATTATAAATCCGCTGTGCCAGCAGGCGGTGGATACTAAAGGCGATGTGGTTCTCACGCTCCTTATAGACCAATATATGCTCCGTTGAAAGATATTATATTCGAAAAAATGGAAAAATATCTAGCTCCATATTGCTTACACCGGAGCTTATGAAATGAAAGTGCAGCCAAGATTGTATGTACGCTTGTACAATAATTTAATGACGCGAGCCACAATGCAGTATTAGGTGGATTACGTGCGGTGTACCTATGCGAGTGATCGAAGCGGAAAGAGAGAGAAAGAGAAAGCGTCGAGGGCAGACAACGTGACTTTTTTTACTGTATCAATGAAATCGAGAGATCAAATGGATTTCATAATAATCGAGTTCCTATATGAGTGTGGATGCCTTTTTTCTCTTTTATCGCTCAAGGTATTCGTGCGCGCGACGTTACGTGAAAGTTTGACTTTTTCAGATGTGTATCACACTGTTTGTATGGATTGTTCCTTTTTTGCTTGGGTATAATTGCTCTATGATTTGGCCCCTCATTAATTTATGGGATGATGTGAATTTGTTTCTCCTCACGTAGTCGATTGAATGTGCGATTGTAACTGAATGGTTTTTTCGTGTTATTTGTTTTGATTTCGTCGAATAATTCATTTTTCTAGCTGCTATCGTCATAGTATTCAGCACAAGATATTTACCATTCATACATTAACTGACTTGTAAGCTACGAGCGTTATGAAAATGGTTTTGGTAAACAATTAAAATTTTTCAGCCAATTTCAGTAAGTCCAACAAAATTAAAGGTTGTCTCTATCATTCAATACTTTATCGCAATCTCCCATTTATTAAAAGAATGATAATAAGTAATTTTCAAGATAGTGCAGTCGTTTTTATTTTTTAATCAGAAACGTCAGTGGGTTCGACAAAATGTTAGACTTAAGGGGTCGTACCCAAATGCCGTGGACAGTTTTAGGGGAAGGGGGGGGGGTTGGTTGAGTCACGCGGATGTTTACGCTGAGGGAAGAGAAGAGGGGCAGGCATTAAGTTTATGTGTGACAAAACACTCTTTTTTATTCTAAAATATTACCTTTTAAATTATATTTACCTAATAGTCGACGTACAAAAATTTTGTATTTTATTTAAAGTTACTTCCTTTGAAATCTCACTATGATTTTTGTTGATGAAGGCATTCTTCGACAACATTGCTAAATATGCTTATATTTATATGTATACTTATTATGACTAACTTTGCTTCGTTTCCTGTTACGGTTTGTTTTGAAAAATTTTCATTGTAACTTAATAAAAACTTATAATATTTAAGTACTTAACAGTAATTAATCAAGAGATATATTACTTAAAATTATTTTTCAAAAACGTATGAAAAAAAGTAAGTCAACGTAAATTTCGGGAAAGGAGAAGGGTTCAATTCTGATTAACATAAAGTTTACTCGGGGGAGGAAGGGGGGGATCGAAAAAATGGTCCATGGTATTTAGGTGCGACCCCTAATTACATATATCGAATCATTAATTCGGTGTACCAAACCTTCAATGCGAAACTTAATCGAAATTTTTCTCTCATAACATAAAGACTGTACAAACTAATTTTTTAATAGCCAACTTAAAGGTTCTTTAGAAATTTTTTAAACAATCAAATGGTCTATATAAAAATCATTAGAGTTTACGTATCTTTAAGTACACATAAGTGTATATGACATCCTATCTATATTTCAGTGAGAATTCATCAGGTATGGTAACTAAAGTACCAAAACTTTTCCCAATGTAAGCCTTTAAACGTTAGTGAGAGAATATTAAATTTTTATTTTTTATAAATATTCTTCATTTTTTAATTTATCAAGTCAGATAATAAAAAATTAAATGTAGCCAATGCTAATGGAGTAATTTTTAGCTATATGAAATTGTATGTAACGATAGTTTTGTTGGTTCCAGTTTCGTTATCGGGTCCTACTTAGCGACTGGTCGAGAGTCATTAACCTTATTTTCTGTTTTCCAGCAGTTTATACGAAAACAGATTTTAGTTTTTATTGTTTTTCGTCTTTTACTTGGAATCATAAAATTAGGAGTTTTCTTCTCGGCTATTTTTTAGCGACAATGAATCGTTATTTTCGTTACTTGTCGCGTCTCACGCCGAAGGTGGATTATTTTGATGTAGAGAGGAGTTGGAGTCGGTTAAAATTGAAGTCAATTGATAACGTGGCAGTTGGAGCTTTGGGAAGAATTATAGGGCACTACGGTAAAGATGTAACATTATAATAAAATTCTATGAGAACAAATTTATTTTTCTCTGCAGTCGGCATGACTTTTACTTATGATAGCGTACAAGTCTACTGATCCAACGACACCCGACGGCTCTACTGTAACTTCCGATTTCCCGAAATAGTCACTCGGTCTTTTGTAGTGATTCTCCAGGGAAAAACCAAGGAAAAAGGCAGCTTGGAACGATAAGACGATAAGCCGTTGTCATTCGCTTGGAGTAGGTGTCTCTCTTCCAGGCATGGCTCCGAGTATTGGTGCGAAAGCCACTTTATTTCTCTCGGGAAGGTATCAAGTCTGCATTATTGAATTGTCCTTACTTTGGGTTTTTTATCCTTTATCGCATTTTTGCAGAGGTTTTAGAATATAGGTCTATAGGATAAGTGGATGTTATTTTGAAACTTCCCAGAGGTCTAAATATGTTGCGCATTTTTGAAAATGTTCCGAAAAAAGGATTGGATGTCGAGATATGGAGAACGATAAATGTTTTGTTCTTGAAGTTTTGAGGATAAGGTAAAGTTTTAAGAGTAACAACGCTTTGTTTTTGTTTCAAAAATTGTAAAAAAAAAAAAGAAAATAAAATAAAATAGAATGTCTTAATTCACAGAACAATTCTCAAGGAGTCCTTAAAAAATTGATGAAATCCTCTTAGGTACACTTTTGAAGTCAAGATAATTTTTTTTGAAATTTGAGGAAACCTATTAAATTTTGTTGAAAGTCGAATTTTTTGGAAGATTTTCTTCAGGATCTTAGGACAGAGCTCTACAGTTTGAAAGGTACAAAAGTGATTTCGTTGAATTTTAAAGTTTTAATTGGAAAACGATCAGGCTTACGCAAATATAAAGTTCTGTTCTTTTTATTCCGATCTATAAATAAACGAAAGAACATCTCATCCTTAACTTGAAAAACATCAAAAATTTTTTTTGGATCAAAATTAAATAGCTTTGAAAAAACCATCACGGGCTATGTAGAATAATACTTTGTTTTATATTATAAAATTTCTACTATCTAAAAGTACACACAAAAGAAAACGTCTCTGATCTAACTGTGTAGCTAAAAAAGTTTTTTTTTCTACATCTTAAAACTTCTTAGTGAATATTCTTTGTGGAAACGTTCGTATACCTTGATCAGCTTGTTTTTTTTTTTTTTTTTTTTTTAGTAAAAGCTAATAAATGCAAATCTTAAAGTACACGTTAGTCAAAAAAATTCTTCGTAAATTATGAAGTTGTCCATTATAGTTCAGTTGTATGCAGCAAGACTGAAAATCAATTTGCTAAAAATATCGATATTTAAATCTGTATTTATGCACTACTCCATGCTTTTGATGGAAATATGATAACCGTTATAAATTACGCGAGAGGCGAAAAGTTGTTAAAACAGAAACGAAAATTAATAGTTTTAAAGCCTAACGCGGCTCCTGCGTGCGCTTTAAGCACATACGTGCGATAAAAACCGAATATTAATTTTTCATATCCTCGTACATGGTGTAAATTAACATCGCAATTTATTCGACCGAGCGTGTTTCATATTTCCTGAGAAAAACCTGCTGAATTTCAAGTGCTTTGGTGAATTATCTTCATTTACAATATTCAAAATCTTTCGAGAGTATTGAAATTCAAATTTAATAATAGCAACAGCACGTCACCGATCATTCACTCATTTGCAAAGTAATCGATAAAAGATTCTTCACGGATACTCGAAAAACGCTCGAATTTCGATCAGTTGATACATGCAGGCCATTCAACATTTTTCATTTGGATGATTTGCATTTGATTGAGTTACTTTAAACTTAAACAAACAGCAAACGAAATATCGTTTCTTGAAATGAATCTCACAGTTTGAAGAATAGACACGACGGAAATGACTGGGTTGCCCGACAGTTCAGAATGAAATAGTACATTATTAGCGAGGCTGATTGGACGTGAAATTCATTCGTTAATGGGATCCCGCCCACCGGAGAATTGATCCGAAGACTTTTTTTTCATTCTTCCTCTCATCTCCATACGCCATCTGTTTCGCCTCATCGTTCCTCTTCTCTTTATATTATCTGGCTCACAGAGTTTCCTAGACTTATCGCTAAATCAAACAAGAATTGCATCATCAAGTCAACGAACTCGTGACTGGCACAATATTTTTTCATCAAACAAATGTCTGGTATATCAACAAAAACACGCATCCAAGAGAAAAATATTACCAAATTAATTATACAAACAGTTGTCAACTTTAGAATAAGGATAATAGAAAATAATGTTACAAAGCAACGGGAGAATCAAACTGTCAGTACATCAAAGTTACCCCATAATTAACAAAGTACTTATTTGAAGCATTGTTTGTTTTGTACTGTTATTGTTGATACAATGTTATATGTCATGGATACGCATCAAAGTAACTACCCACTCTCTGATGAACGAGATATTTGGATGATATGGCACATATTACAACATAGATTTATAATTTTCATCTCGATGAGAGCTGCAATATCAAGGCAAAATGTGTACTTGCTATGGGATTTGATAGCTTTTAAACATCATCGATCCGCCCACGCTGCTATTTAATTTTAAGTGTATCGAATGCTTTAATCGAATACACTATAGCACATGACTAAGTGAAACGTTGAATTTCCGTTGTTTCAGGATCGAGCGATAAAACCGTCCGAGCGCTTCACCTCTACGACGACCTTGACCGTGAACATCCGTGACGACGACGATCAAGATCCTTCCTTCATCTACCTCGGCTGCATGTTTCTCAATGGCGCTTGCATCAATCCCGAGTACTCCGCAACGGTAAGCTTGCCAAATTGTATTACTATTTTTAACACGAGTTACAAGCTAACATTGTATTTTTTATTCTTATATATTTTTACTATTGTTTTTTTTTACTTTCATAATCTTTCAACATATACTATTTAATCATGTTCCTTATCATGTATTGCAATTTTTCAAATCCTATAATTCACACGTTGTCATACATGCTAAAATCTAATTCCAAATATCAACATTCTAACAATTTCACAACTCCTTCTCCGAGTCAGGTGATGGTCTAAGCCAATTAAATCATAAATCAGTAAAAAAACGACTAACTGATTAAAAAAAAAAAAAAAAAGCTATTGACCTTTCTGCTAAAAAGTGAGCTTTCAAGTCAATTTTCAACATTCACCATAAAATATGCTTCTTGTTCGCCAAGGTCTCGAGCGGCATGCTATCGGGCATCCTCAACATATCGCCAGAGAAAATCCAAGCTGTCGACATGGATAGTATCAATGCGCCCATCCGCTATTCGTTTCTGAGTGGCAGCCCATCCAACTATCACGACTTCTTTGAGATCAACCAGAGCACCGGTGCTGTCAAACAGATACGTGCGGTCGACACCACCGTCACCAAAAAGTTCGATATCATTATTAAGGTAATTAATTTTTTACCATATCGCTTTTAATGAAGCTACGGTAACTGGACGTAGTAATGCGTTTTTGTATGATATTATGTGATTAGTTTTTGGGCTTAACTACTTATTTTTAATCAAATGCACGAGGAACGACCGAAGAGAAATTTAATACTTAATAGTGTGAAAAATAAATTTTATTTCATCAAAAGACAATAGAAACGCTACTCTACGTTGTCATTTTATTTTTTTAAATATTTTTTTTTATTTCTTATCTAAAATGCAAGTACTCAGTTAGTAATCATTTACGTGCGAGGTAAAGGAAGATACTTATCTTTCAATATTGTAATTTAATCGTATTTCTTAGTTTGTAACTCGCAGTAACAGCAAGCAAATGGTGAAACGGGACTAACATTTTTGCTATTATTTTAAAGGCCGTGGAAGACTCGGAAGCTGAACGTTCAACCTCGGCAAAGCTGACTATAACAGTCAAACCAGTCGACAGCAATCCCCCGGAGATTAGTGCTTCGTCTACGGAGGGTTACGTTGACGAGAATGCACCTGTGGGTACAAAAGTTGTCGATGCTAACGGCCATCCCATAGTTCTCTCGGTCTCGGATGCTGATTTGGTGAGTTTTATTTTACTTCTCAGTTTGATGATTTATGGCTTTTGAAACTGATGATCCACTTTGTAATGCGAAATGCAAAAACTTGATTATTCGTTAGTCCAGCTATTATGATTATTAAATGGGAATATAAGCACGTTATGCTCTTGTATGAATAAATTGTACAACGAAAATCATCTTTAGGAAGTTCTTTCGTACTGGGTAATTGAAACTTCACAATTTTACTGATCACAAAACAATCAACAATCAAGATTAATGGTTTCATGGCTAAAAATTATTTTAGAACAGTTTTACTTAAAATCTCAGATTTTCCCTGAAAAACTTAATAATCTGTACCACTACTTGATTACCATTGCAACAGTTAATAGATCACCATTTTCAGTTAAAATAACTGACTTAAAACTAAACCCTCTATCGTCATTAAAATGCCATTGAAAAAGCTAAATAGTCACAAATTAAATGCACGGCAATAATTGCATTTCGTGTTCTATCTAGAACTTCTCCCAGACACATTTTTCTGTTTTATCTTCTTCATTGTGTTTATTTTTTCCTTCACGATTGTAGCTTATGCCTGAGGGTTTCCAAAAGACCGCTGGAATTCACGTTTCATGCTCCACTATGTTCTAGACACAGCATTATTTTATCCACCAAAACTCCTAGATATTATGAGAATTTCTTACTCAACAAGGATTATCTCGTCTGTAATAATACGTTTACACGGTCATTGTGCAGTTCGCTCCCGATAGATAAAGGACTTACTATCTCTGGTCGAATTCGCTCCCAGAAGATAGTGGAATTTCTTACGTGGTCGTATTCGCTCCTGAGTTGAAAACGTTAAAAATGATGTTTAGCCTAAAGAAAATTAGAAAAAAATTATTTTTTCCTGCAGAAACATAAGTAAAAATAATTGTTATCATCTTGGTAGTGAATTTGACAACAGATAACAAATTCCACTATCTTTCGGAAGCGAATCCATCATTTTTTTTAATTCGTGGGAGCGAACTCGATATTCTACTGAGTGGTTGATAAAACAAAATTGTTTCGATGTAGTATATCAGATTAATCATTACCAGTTGCCTATATACGTGCAAAAGAACCTTTTTAAACATATGTCTTTAGATTCGTCATAGAATATAGGGTTGTGATAGCAGCTAGTCCTCTGCCTAACATTATGGGAATCACTCATTGATAACCTTTGAAAAAAGTCTCACCTTTCGTTGGTAGATTCAATCGAGTAGTTCTTAATATTCTTAAGTGCAGGATGTATCTGTTTTGACAGCCAATTCAGTGGTGTTTCGTGACTATTAATATTATCCTAATGGATATTGCTTTGTCGCATGGGTGTTATATTAGTAAGGTCTTTGTAAAAAATACTTTCATTTTGTAACGGTCAAAGAATTTAAATTTCATTCGACAATCACAATTAATCTTTGTCTTTAAGTAGCTCTCGACTTGTGATAAAGTCAAAAAAATGTCTGGCCAATTCCTGATGCTGAAACACCTCTTAAATAAATTCCTTTTTGGAAGCATTAACCAGAAAAAGGAGAGGCTGCAAAGTTAGTTGGTCCTCTGATAAAGCTCGTAAATCAGTTGTGGTAAATCTGGTGCTGGTAGCTCGGGGATTACTCGCATAAATCTGGGAAAGGATGTACGGCATACGTGTACTTCCACGAGAGCCTGGGGTGGATTAGGAGTATAATACTTTTCTGGATATTGAGCCTGTTGTTGCTATTTTTTTGCTTCGATAGAACATTGTTGGAATGATAAGTTTGCAATATATTCGTTACATTTTTTTAATGCGATCATATTATTGTTGACTACAGTTTATGAAAATCTACATTTAACGCTTTTGGTTAAAGTGATACGTTATGATTATTTTTAAAATGTAGAATGCAACGATTACTATGAAAAAGTGGAAAATTGGACTTTTTTTTTTTTTCAAAGTTTTTGGTTCACAGATTAAAAGAGATGTTTTTGTATGTTCAATTTTTCAACCCATTTTTTCTTGGGAATTTTAAGGATTTATTGAAACCATTGACTTCCAAGCATCATTAACGTCAGGAACAATCGTTCCCTTGATTATTCCTCAATTCTGGTCCACGAGCTTTTGAAAGCATTCTTAGCAAGATTTTTGACCAGAGTAAAGATTAACTGTAGATTCTAACTCCTTAAAAAACAGGGAGCTGAAGATCCAAAGCCAGAGTACGCGTTTGAGTTGACAACGACTTCTTTCGCGATCGATGCGAGTGGCACGCTGGTCGTGAACGAAGAGAATCTGGACCGCGACCCTCCGAGTCCGGGTCAGTTTCACTTCCAAGTGGTGGCCAGGGAGCGCAGTGCAGCTGCCGCCTCGACGCCTTTGCCATTCGTCGTCACTCTAAATGATGTTAACGACAATGCGCCTGTGTTGCCCACGACGCCATCCATCACTGTGCAGGCTGGGGAGACCAAGCGTGAGGTTATCAAGGTACGTGTGTTCTGTATTAGAAATGGAAGTGTGGTATTTACAAACAAACAAATTTCAAGTTGTTAACACTCTTTGGATAAGTATCCTATCGCTGTTTATTTTGGGAACCCAACGAGTGTACCCTAACACTGACACTTGATGAGATAGTTGGTAGTATGTGCCTTAGATCGGTACGTGTTTTTATGTAAAACAGCAAGTTCTATTTTTCTACTAACTTTGTGATTTGAAGGTGCCACATTTTTTCTTGTGGCGGCAATATGTAGATATAGTGGAATATGGTATTATATTGGAAACATTTTATTTTTAAGTATTAAAAAATACACAGACTCAAAAACTTTTTTGTATAGGAAACTGTATTCAATGTTCTTGGAAGTTGTTCGTTGTGACATAATTATTAAAACACTTTCAAGATCGTTTGTTATCTGATGCCTTTTAGGATCATGTGTTTCAAAATTTTGATTAACGCTAATTGAAACCCACAGTCATCTTACAAAAAAATAACACTGTGCAGATTTTTTTTTCGAATTTATTTGTTACAAATTAAAAAATGTTTTTTGTTTAAATTTTCCTTGACGGGCTGAAAAAATTAACATTCCTTGAATTTTTGTGCCTTTAAGTTAAAAGAATATGCATTTAAAGACTCGGAAACAACTTTTATCTTGGAATTTGGCATACGTTTACACCAACGTCATTGTACATTGAATAGTTATCTCATAGATTATTCAAAGGTCGCAATAAATAACAAAAATATTTCTCCTTAATGTTACTGGTAAAATAATCACCAAGACCAAGCAAGTGTAAAATCCCTCAAAGACTCTCCCGGGTAACAATCCACGTACAACCCACAGGTTGAGGCAACGGACAACGACGAGGGCCCAAACGCCGAGATAACGTACAGCATCTACCACGTGTCGAATAACGGACTGAAAAAGTTTGAGATTGACCCCCGCACCGGACTGATCGAGTCAGTTGGCAAACTCAACGCCGGTGAGCAGTACAGCATAACAGTCCAGGCGACGGACCGCGGCGGCCGCTACTCCCAGACTATCGTCGAGGTAAACGTTGTACCGGGGCCCAACACCCGCAGCCCCGTCTTTCAACAGCAGGTCTACGAGGTCCAAGTCAGCGAGGGCGCCTCCCTCAACTCCACCGTGGCCACTATCATCGTGAGTGCATCCGTACAAAAAAGAAATAAATTTAACTCCATTCCCATCCATAAACCAGGCAGTCCTCTCCCGATGAGCCATTAAAATCAGTCCCGTCCGTTCCCCCTTGAAAGCCCGCACGTGAATCAACGACAACGTCGACAGCGACGATACGTCGTGTTTATTAATCACACCGCACTCGTGTACGACTGTGCGCGAGTTCTTACATGCTTTTTTTCTCCATCTTCTGGTAAAGGCCGTCGATCCGGAAAACGATCCCGTTTCGTATTCCATCGTCTCGGGTAACGACCTGCGGCAGTTTGCGATCGGCGACAAGTCCGGCGTCATTACCGTTATAAGGAAACTGGACAGGGAGGACCTGACGCGCTATCAGTTGGTGAGTGTCTTTTGCTCTTTTTTTCCCCTTTCCCTCGCTTCGCTGTTGATTCTCTTTTTCTCCGTCTCGCTCGCGAGAGTGGCTTGATTAGATTCGCGGCTGGATTGGGTTTCCTCGCGGTGTTTTGCACCTGAGACTCCCTCGTGTCAGTGATACCGGGGCCTTTGGTATTTGATTTCCGTTCCGATCGGTGAATTTTAAGTGTTTTTCTTCGGACTCTGCGTTTTTCTCGTTTGGGCTTGTAGAATCAACATACATGATTGTGAAAAGCTATAATGTTAGAATAATGATTTTTACAACTATGCATAGGCAGAAAATTTTATGAGCGTTACATTAAAGATAAATTTGTAACTTTGATGAAATTTTAATTACAACTTGACCTTTAAGAAATTACTTTGTAATTTACGACTCAAGGATTGTGCATTTTTATTGATAATGTTTATAAAATGACTGAATTATTCAATTTCCGTGTGCAAACTGTTATAGTAAATAATATGGATTTCTCAAAATTAGTTGTTTTTATTTTATAGAAAAAATCACTTAAAATTTTATAAACAACATCTTGTACTGTAAAGTAAATATAGTTCAAAATTATCACAATTTTCCTACATAATGTTCTACAATTTTAAAATTTCTCAAGGATTTTCGAATTTCAATTCATTTATGCATTGTATGTGTTAATTCGCTTGAATCGTAGCAAGAGTATTGCTGCCCTGTTGGCTGCGTCTATTTTGACGAAGTCAACTTATTTGTTACTTAAAATTTAGGAGGGATCGCGGCACAAAAATACTACTCAATTTACAACTGATTAATTAAAATCCACCTAAAAAAAGACAATTTTGCTGAATTTATCGGAACGGAGGATGGGAATGAACTAGGTGAAATAAATTAAAAATACACTGATTATGAGCCACGAACGAAGATATATTTAAATAAAACGTATACGTGCGCGTCCGCACGTGTCTCGAAAAACTCACGAATCGACAAACGTCACACGGTCCGTGAAGCGGATTTTCGCCGTGCTTTACTCGCAGCACGCCGAGCTTTTCGAAGATGATGCAGATGACGATGATGATAAAAAAAAGGAAAGCGTGAGAGAAATTAACCCCAAAAAGGTGACCCCCAGATACACGTGTGCGTGATGATGATGAGGAAAGATGTAGAAACCAGTAGGACGAATATAATACCCAACTATGCCAGATACTCGAGATCGCAGTTGACAACTGTAGACCGCTCTGTATAGACAGATAGTTCGGAACTGACCCGGCGCGCCCACCCAAAGTAGTTGCAAGACTCCCCTTCCCTTTTTAATTCTCCCACCCGCTGCAGTCGTCAGGACCCATCAATCCCTTACACCTTATGCGAAAAGCCAGAAAAAGAGAGAGAGAATGATGTAAGCAATTAAGAGAGGGGGAGAGACCTATGACCCGAGGACACTTAATAAGAGCAAAGGAGATGGAGATGTAGG